GGCTTGATGAAGGGAGGGAATGGGTCATGCAGTAGTTGGAGTGGGAGGAGGCTTCTGGAGAAAAAAAGAGCAAATGTAAAATGTCAACAAAGAGCTTGACATTTGTTTGAATGGGCTGTGGGGGTCACCAGAGGAGAGACTGGCTGGGAGGTCACTGTTGGGTAGGAGAAGTGAGAGATGTGGGGGTTTGACAAGAGGTGGTCAGATTCAGGACACATCTTAAAGGCAGAGCTGACAGACAGTGCTGCTTGTTTAGGTGTGGGGTTTAGAAAGAGATAAGCATGAATAATTCCTAGGCTTTATGGGAAAAATTGCAAAGATTGGCACATAGTTCCCATAAACCCTTTGCTCAGCTTCTCCCAGTGTTAACATCTTATATAACCACAGTGCCCCAGTCCAAACTGAGAAATTAACATTGGCCTAGTATTGTTAATCAAACTAGTGACTTCAGATTTCACAGTTTATCCAAGGATGAACTTTACTCTTCTCAGATATACTCGAGGATATCACACGGACTTTAGTTTCCTCTGATCTATGATAGTTTATCAGTCTTTCCTTGTTTCTCACAACTATGACTTTTTGAAGAGCACAGTCAGAATATTCCTCAATTTTAGTTTTCTCTAGTATTTTCTCATGATTAGAATGGGATTACGGATCTGGGGGAAGAGTATCATGGAAGTGAGGTCCTCTTCTTATCAAATCATATCACAGAGTATATGATGTCAGCATAATGTATCACTGGTGATGTTAACATTAGTCATGTGATTAACCAGGTGCTATTTTTCCGTCACATTGATCTGAAGGGGAGAGAAAGGCCTTCTAGGTGAGTGTGTGTGCAAGAGAGAGTGCCGTGCTGAATAAGGGCCCGTAAACTAGGTACACGGGGAAGTGTGGACATGTGTGGGATGAGAGAAAAATGTGTAGAAGTCAAGAAGTTTTTGGGGTTTTTATCTGGCAAAGTGTATGATGGAAACAATCTGAGGACTGCTGTTGTAAAGGCACCTGCTGATCCTATTTTCCCCTTTCAACGGGAGTGCCTGAAACACCTTTTCAATGCCTTTTAATCCCTCTAGGTAAGTTTCCACTTCTTGGGTCAGTCTTGCTAACTTATGATTTTTCTGGGAAATTATCTTCTTTAAGTTTTTAAAATTTTCCTGAGTTTTTGCCTTGATTGTCTTATAATTCTTGTAAATTTCCAGTAATTATAGTTACGTCTTTTTGCATGCCTTTAAATAGAGATCCATCCGAATAATTTTAAGACTTGTTTGCACACTTTGGAGCACAGCTGATAGAGCAGAAGAATTCCATGGCGAGTACCTGATACATAAATAGCCTAACTAGGGCCGATTTAATTCGTTCTGAGAACTCTTTTCCATTTTACTGAAATAGAATGAAAAAGTACTGTCATCATTTCAGAAACTTTTTGGTCATGTGATACTGCTTTATTATAGTTCAATACATATTAGGAAAAAATGGAAATTCATTTTTTGTTGTTTGGTAAATATCAATTAAGGGTTGCATATATTTTGTTTACTGTGTTTCACTATGTTTTTCAAGGTCCAAAATTGGAGTGGTATTGTTACTTAAGAAATGATTCTACAAGAATCAATATGACTGTCAGTGGGGTTTTATTCTCTTTGAAAAAGTAGGGTCAAACTTTACAAGACAGATCGTCTTTCTTGCTAGGTTCCTTGGCCCCAGGCCCTTTGCTTCTATCAGGAAGCTGTCCTTCAGAGTGAATAATGCTTTTGCTAGTTGGAGGCATATTAGTTATGCAACAGTGCATTCTGAGATGCAATTGCAAAAGCCATTAAATTATCATGCTGAATTTAAGTCTTATTATCACCTTAAAAACACTGAACAGCAAATTTACATTTCTTCGCTTAGGTTTATAGACTGGTATTTCCTTTTGATGTACTGAAGCCTGAGAGGAGGCAGGTTTCCAGACATGTAGAAGTGGTCAACTTGGGGGGTCTCAAATTCTGTGATTCTAGGAGGAACAAGTTTCTTCTCAAAACTTCAACATTTGCAAGAAAGTGTTTTAAGAAACCAGGAACAAGATAAGAGTGTTTTAAACAAGTTATATTTCCTTAGAGCTAATCACTGGATTGTCGGTAAAAATAACACAAGCTGATGTTACAGCTCCATCAAGGCTACCACTGCAATGTGACCTCCAGTGACCTCAGTGAAGTCTAGCACGGCTATTGATTAAAGCATCTCCACAAGAGCTTCATGCCTCCCTGACCCACTAAAGGTGGCTTTTGGAGGAAATGTTGACAAACATGGGAGAGTGCCTTGACTCTTGCTACTCCAAATGGCTGCTGGGGTTTGTGGGCTGGTCTGCAGTGGTGTCCGGGGCCACCAGCGAGCCAAGCAGTCTGGAATGAGGGGAAGTGATGTGTGCGCTGCAATAGTCTAACAGCAAAGCACTGGGTCTCAGGGAATTTCTTAAATGAACCCCAGATACCAGAAAAGATTAGATATGGACCATGAGTGTTAGGTACCCATTTCTAAGTGAGGTCTATGTCAATTTTCTTTCTCATAGAACTCATAATCAGAAACTGGGGTTCTTCAGATGAGCATAAGCAATGATTTGTCAGGGCAAGTGGTATTAGGTTTCCATTAGTGTACATATTCTGGGTATTTTATAGATTTCATCCTCTCCTTAAATGTTTTTCCTAGAAACTGGGATAGTTATATTTAACCACAAATCAGTCCCAGATGTCTCTTGTCACTCTAAGGCCACACACAGGACCAGGGTTCAACTCAAGTAGTGGTGGAACAGGCCGTAGCAGGGGATCCAACTCACACCATGATGTCCTCATAGACACAGGACTCTAGGAAAGTGACAGTTCCCACCCATCCTGTGTTCAGCCACTGAGGGGCCCTCAGGGTTTACAAAGGAAGAACAGCAGCTCCTAGATCTTTCTGAGGCACCTTATCCAAGGACTATTTCTGGGTCTCACAGCGAGTGCCGTTGATCTGTGGATCTTAGCATAGGACTCTTCAATTTCTCTATTAAGCTGAAATTAAATTAAATTATAAAAATTGAAATTAAAAACATAATTGTACCTTACAATCAAATAAATAAAAGACTTTCTTTAGACATTGAAGGTAGCCTATTGAGAAAAGAAAAAATATTGCGAAACCTAGGGATCTAAATGTACATAGCTGTAATTAACCTATAATTTAGACAGAGGGCAAGGGACTCATGGGGACAGAAAAAAAGAGACTCAAACTCTGACCTGTTGGAAAGTCAAGAATATAAAAATAAATCTGATGGACAGGATTGACCCTAGCTGAGGCCAGTCAAGCTCCTGGAAGGGAGCCTGTCACAAAAGAAAAATAATTCTGGAAGAAAATGTCATATTCAACACAGTTCAGAGAAATAATAACAGTGTGGACACCATGTGCAGGTGTTGGTGCTGGAAACCCCTTTAGTTTAGCCCCGTGGTTCTGTAGCAGTGATTTAGGAAGTGAGCTACGTGAGAGCATGTCAGGAAGTGTGTGCACAAAAGTGAAAGAGAATTTGCAAGTCCTGTGCTAAGATCCCCAGTTCAACTGCACTCACCGTGAGAGCCAGGCCACTTAGAGGAGTGGTCCCTGGACAAGGTGCCCCGGAAAGATCTAGGAGCTGCTGTTCTTCCTTTGTAAGCCCCCTGGGCCCCTCAGTGGCCGAACACAGGATGGGTGGGAACTGTCACTTTCCTAGAATTCTGTGTCTATAAGGGTATCATGACATGAGCTGGAAGCCCCAATATAGCCTATTATACTACTACTTGAGTTGGACCCTAGTCCTGTGCGTGGCCTTACAGTGACAAGTGACATCTGGGACTGATTTGTGGTTAAATATAACTACCCCAGTTTCTAGGAAAAACATTCAAGGAGGATGAAACCTATAAAAGACCCAGTTTAATTAACAGAGACATCAGAAAAAGTTACATTCTGAAATATTCCTCCAAGTAAGTGCAATGGGTAATGTAAATTATTGCTTCAGTGATCTTTAGGATGTCATCATTTGAGTGTATAATAATCTTAAGAGTTTTAAGGTATTTGCATTTATACTTAAAATTGAATTTTGAATCCGTCTTTCAAAAATAAGAATTCTTAAGTTCTTCAGCTGAAACTGGGCTTCCTCAGAACGAAAGTGGACTCCATAACTTCTATTAGTTATAATTGTAACCACAATTCGATAACACTATGCTACTTATGAGTACCACAGATAATCTAGTTTGTTCTAAATCCATGTTACCATGCACATGTTATCTAGCTACAACATTTTGGTTAGTTTTTCCAAATTTTTGTGTCTTGAAGGTATGCGTCTCCTGGAGGCTGGAAAGTTATTTAAATCTAGTGTAATGCTGCTAATAAGATGGAATGCCTTTAACTTCTTGTTCATAATATTTTTTGATTGATTAGAAATTTACTGCATTCTTCTTAGATATTCTTTCTACACTAAAGTATATGCATATGATCATTCAGTTCTATACTTAATGCCTTATTTACATTCTAATATTCTTACTGATTTTCCTATTACATTATATTTACACCTTGTAATCAATTTTGTTCTTTGAAAGTATAACTTTATCTAACACACTGAAACATTTTCTTTCTTTTTTTATGGGAATATAGTTGATATACAATATTATGTTGGTTTCAGATGGACAACCTAGTGACTTGATAATTATATAATTACTTATGCTCACCAGTGTGTAGTTCCCCCTGATACCATACCATTTAACAATTATAGATTAAATTCTCTGCGCTGTACTTCCACTCCTGTGACTAATGTATTTTATATATTTTATAATTGTACCTCTTTATCCCCTTCACCTGTTTCACCCATTCCCCCAGCCCCTTCCCTTACCTTAACCAACAGTCTGTTGTCAGTATTTATGAATCTGTTTCTTTTTTGTTTGTTTGTTTTACTCTTTAGATTCTAAGTTGAAATCATGGTATTTATCTTTCTCTGACTGACTTGAAACATTTTATGTTTTAAGGAAAAAATAAGGAGATATCTACAGACTGAAAAGATGTTTTCAGAGGCATAGAGTCTTCAGGAAAATACTGGCGTCCATGAGGTCTCAAGGTCAGCAGTTCGTACTTTATTATTTTCAAAATTATTTTCATGCTTTTGCAGATCTGAGAGAAAACCATGTAACTGTTCTAAGTCATTATTGCTAATGTGTAATTGGATAATAATGAAAAATATTTTTACTTAAAATACATACTTTTAACAATATTTCCTCAGATTTCTAAAAATTCAAATAATACTGGAAATGGATTATTTAGTTCAATTGGGGATGGTTGAAAGAAAACACTGTTTTAGTAGAGAACCACTGGTTATTAAAATTTGCTTCACTTTTTTAAAGGATACCACTGTTAACATAAAAATAAATAAATGTCAGGCATCTCTATAAATTTTATTTCTGATTTATTAAGGAATATATACCTATTTTGCAATTTTTAAGTTTCTTTTGTAACGTTGGCATACATACACACACATAATTTAAAAGGACAGCTGATTTAGCAATCCTACAATATTCTTTGAATATTATTCCCTGACGCTCCCTAAGTACACAGAAATTATGCTTTTGTTGAAAAATGTGGTGTCAATAAAATGACAATATTAATGAGCAAAAGGTCATTTGAGGACCTTTTCTAAGTTGTTTATAGTCTAAGTCTGGAAAAGAAAAACCAGATAAGCCTACCCTTATTAAACAGCTTAATGTAATAATAAACTAATATAAAATATTCATTTGGAAGTTTGAATGACAATGTCGGTTAAAATGGTTCATTCCAATGGGATAGCTTGAGGAAGTGGATTTCTGATTTCTTTTTAATGTGGGACCCAACACCAAATGTTCATAATTTTAAATGAAAAAGTATTGATGATGTTTTATTTTGATTGTCTTGATCAGACTTGTCTTCAGTCTCTACATCTTTTCCTCATTTTCCTGTTCTCAAGAATTGCCCAACCAATATGTTACTCTGTTGCTCTGAAGTTAACTTTATTATTAATGTAAGCAATGCATAATTAAAAAGACAAGCTAGATTTAAAAGAGCATGCAATGAATTCTAAAGTGCAATGGGAATTATTTGGTGATTATTCATATTTTTACATTATGACTTTTATCAGCCTGGAATACTAAGAGTTTTCACCCGTGGGAGTGTTGCTCATCACAATTCACACCCAACTGACCTTTTATTAAAGTAGCTAGTCAAGTACAGCACAAGTAAGTAATACGAGATTCTAAGAAGGAAAAGTCTCTTTTTTGCCACACCTGCACATTTATTATTATAGAAAAGAGTTATGCAAACACCTATGAAAAGAACAAAAGTGAGCAAAGCCTTCTTGGGTTTTTTGTTTCAGTACATTTGGCTTCTTTATTAAGCTCACCGGAGACTTAAATCATTGCTGCAATGATCTAGAAAGGCGTGTGGGTTTGAAAGGATTTGAATGCTATAAACCTCTAAGGGACCCATATGCAAATATTAGCAGAATGAGTAAAGGATTTGCAAGGAGTGGGAGTCCAGACTCCGCTTGAAATGATTGCACAGCACTGTGCTTCTCACAAAAAGCTTTTAAAAAGGTGATACCTTAAGATGCTAAAGCAAGTCAAGTAATTAAAAATAGCAAACTTCTTTTTTGAAAAGTCAATGAGAACACCTCTTGCTTAATTGTGCCATTAGACAAGTGGTTAAATTAATTTATGTAACAACCACAGTCATTCAGCAGGTATTTATCAAGTGCCTACTATGTGCATGGGGACAACAGCAGTGAATAAAATGCACCAATATATTTTCCTAAAGTGGAGATTACTATATGGGGAGTAGAAATGTGTAAGCAGTAACAAACACAGTTACATGTTATGTTAGGTGGTGATATTGCTATGAAGAAAAAAGAAAACAGGAAAGGGAATATAGAGTGTAAGGAGGGGTGGAACTTTTAAATAAGCCTAATGACTCAATACTGCATAATTTACACAAAAGACGTAGATACCACTTTTGCCCACATAGTGCCAACTGAAACAAGTGCAATGAAACATAACACCTGCTGGTAAGTTTTCTAAATCACCATTTGTGAAGATAAATGGTGTTAATGTAGGTAAAATAACTGGTATGTGTCTTTCCTCAGAGAGAAAAGACATATTTTTTTAAATGGTAATAGACTTACTACATGTACATGAAATATTGTCAAAAGGTTTGCAATAAACAAACATACAATGGAATAGTCCATTCACTTACTAAAAGGGTAAGGGCTTATCTGGGTATGGGGGGAAAAAATCAACCCATTTTTTTAATTGAATAAATATTATAATCTGAAAGTAGTTAAGGATATCGATGACAATACAGATGGATGATACATGGTGCTAGGAGGCTCTATGTAATTTTTTGTTTTATCGTCACTTTTACATTTATAGGAAAGCCCTGAGTTTTGGGATTAAACCCAGAAAGAAACTATTTAAATACCACCTCATTCACATAGTACACTGATTTTTGAGAGGACATATGTCTTCCTTTGTACATTTGATTTATTAGAAGATATATGGAGATTTGGAAATTAAATTGATCTATTTGTGATCATCAGGCTTCTTTCATGGTCGTCTGCTTGGAATTTGGATATGAAACCTCAGGTGCTAAGAACTTGACTGTGTCTATAGCCCAGATAACCCTGCCCATTTTTTGCAACGCATCTAAAATACGATGAACCCATTACAAAGGTTGGCATTATCTTAAAAGTTACTCAGACTTACATTACTGGATAGAATCGAAGGGTTTAGCCAACCTGGTATTCAGAAAAAGGAGTTCAATCCTTTTTCTTTCACTGTTACTAAGTCAGTATGAAAGGACTCTCTAGCCATCCAAATAAACAGAAGTTGGATTAGGAGGCCTCAAAACCTATTAAATATTGTAATTCCACCAATCTCCCAAAAGGAAGGTATCAAAAACAGTATATCATCTGATGGAAATAAATTTAATAAATGTAATAAATACCCCTGTATTGGAGCATTAAAAGAAGGACAAAGTAAAGGTCAAACTGCTTAGAGGGTCTCTCTTAATCAGACCAAAGCATTTATACATCTCATGTTGCGGAAGCAGGAATGGCCACCACTGTGAGGTTCACCAGAAAGAGGCAACCGGTGCTGGTCTGTTTTGGGCCAAGCAAAAGGATGGAAGAGAGGCAGAGGGCTCCTGGCAGGCCCTGGGGAGAGCAAAGACTTCTCAAGGAATGTCCCGTGTGCCAGAGCTGGATTCCTTCTACACCAGGATTAACCTTTGTTACTCATCTGGAAACTTCAAAAGAAAGAATTAGAAATTCTCAGTTGAGGGTAACTGAATTGTGACTTTTCCAAAGCAAGTAGAAAATAGCATATGTTTTCCCTTAAATTCTCTTGATGTCATCCTCCCTACATTTGCTTAACAAAAGCTAAACCCAGGAGTCATTCGCGAATTTGTACTACAAATCTGGTTCCCCATAACTCTCCCAAGTACTGACTCTCCCACCCTCTCACAAACCACCATGCACCAGTGCACACCTCTGATCCTGCACCACCTGGCACGCCTGTGTTCTGGGGGGTGCCTCCGTCCCCACTTTTCTTCAATGGTTCTCCAGATGATTTCCTGCCATTCTCATTCTTTCATCATTGTTATAAATAATATATTTAATCCAGGCTTCTCAACCTCAGCACTACTGCTGTTTGGATCAGATAATTCTCTGTTGTGGGGCTACCTGTGCGTGATGGGATGGTCAGCAGCCTGCCTGCTACCTGGAGCCAGTAGCACCCCACCCCTCCAGTTGTGAAAACCGAAAATGTCCCCTTGGGACAAAGCAACCCCCGAATGAGAACCACTGATCAAAATCTGACCTCTGCAATCACAATAAACATCTACTCCATATCAACCACAAAGCCTCCTAACAACCTACAGCTTCTTGTTCTCAATTAAAACTTAACTGAGACACTAAATTCCAGTCCCTCTTGTTAAAGTGAAACTTACCTGTTTGACCATTTCTGGGTTTAGTTCCTTTTAATTGCTTCTACTTGGCCTTGTACCTAAAATGCACTGTATGAAAAAGTAAGAGTGAATATAAAATAAGTGAGAAAATTGAGGAAAAGGAAAAATATGTTAAAAACATAAGATTAAGTTAAAAGTGATATTAGGTTACAAATGAAATAAACCCTTTTCCTCTCACTTCTTTTTCTTCAAATTCAGTGAGACTTGGATGTCTGCATGTTCACCCAAGTTTTGCTTGGACTTTAGCTTGATGCCAGCAGCTTCCTCTCTACATTTTTACAGTCTGTCCTTTCTTATATCATACATGCAACCTGGGATCTGAATTACAGTGAATCTACTCTTTTCTGACACCATTCCTCCTTCTGCACATGAGGGCTACAGGAGCAAATGATCCTCTCTGCAGATTTATAGTTTTCTCATCTGAGGTAGCCCCTCAATAGCATTCGCTAATCCTTTGAGTCTGACTGGTAAACCACTATTTCAAAAGTTGATTACTCCACTCAAGCTGTACAATCCACCCCCTTCACCCTCAGTGCAGCTGCTATTTTAACAAGAAAATTGAGGTCATTGCGTGGGAACCACTTGTGTATCCTTGCAGTTCCCGTCAGCATCGAACAGCTACATCTGTCTTTCTCTCCTCCAGTCTCAAAGGATCAGGGGTCTGTCCCACTATTCAAGGCAAAGCACACGTTTGATTTTATTCCCTATCGCTGATGCCGAGGCTTTTGCCATGAGTTATTTCCTTTTTGTCCTTTATCTTCAACATTTTCTCCTTTGCTGGCTGTTTTCCTTCATCCTCTACACCTACTTCCAACTTCTATCCAGAAGAGGAAATCAACAAACAAAAACGAAGTGACCTCTCTCTTCACTAGATTTCACTGCCACTACCATCCAATTTCTTTCCTCCCAGACTCATTCAAACTCTCAATAGCAGCAGTCTACATTCATTATCTTCGCTTTCTAAGACTCAGCCGTTCCTCGGCACAATGGGATCTGATTTCTAACCCCATTTAACAGAGCATGCTCTCTCTAAAGGCCTGAAGCCCTTATCTTGACGAGCGCTCTCAAATGTGGGACCCAACACCAAATGTTCATAATTTTAAATGAAAAAGTATTGATGATGTTTTATTTTGATTGTCTTGATCAGACTTGTCTTCAGTCTCTACATCTTTTCCTCATTTTCCTGTTCTCAAGAATTGCCCAACCAATATGTTACTCTGTTGCTCTGAAGTTAATTTTATTATTAATGTAAGCAATGCATAATTAAAAAGACAAGCTAGATTTAAAAGAGCATGCAATGAATTCTAAAGTGCAATGGGAATTATTTGGTGATTATTCATATTTTTACATTATGACTTTTATCAGCCTGGAATACTAAGAGTTTTCACCCGTGGGAGTGTTGCTCATCACAATTCACACCCAACTGACCTTTTATTAAAGTAGCTAGTCAAGTACAGCACAAGTAAGTAATACGAGATTCTAAGAAGGAAAAGTCTCTTTTTTGCCACACCTGCACATTTATTATTATAGAAAAGAGTTATGCAAACACCTATGAAAAGAACAAAAGTGAGCAAAGCCTTCTTGGGTTTTTTGTTTCAGTACATTTGACTTCTTTATTAAGCTCACCGGAGACTTAAATCATTGCTGCAATGATCTAGAAAGGCGTGTGGGTTTGAAAGGATTTGAATGCTATAAACCTCTAAGGGACCCATATGCAAATATTAGCAGAATGAGTAAAGGATTTGCAAGGAGTGGGAGTCCAGACTCCGCTTGAAATGATTGCACAGCACTGTGCTTCTCACAAAAAGCTTTTAAAAAGGTGATACCTTAAGATGCTAAAGCAAGTCAAGTAATTAAAAATAGCAAACTTCTTTTTTGAAAAGTCAATGAGAACACCTCTTGCTTAATTGTGCCATTAGACAAGTGGTTAAATTAATTTATGTAACAACCACAGTCATTCAGCAGGTATTTATCAAGTGCCTACTATGTGCATGGGGACAACAGCAGTGAATAAAATGCACCAATATATTTTCCTAAAGTGGAGATTACAATATGGGGAGTAGAAATGTGTAAGCAGTAACAAACACAGTTACATGTTATGTTAGGTGGTGATATTGCTATGAAGAAAAAAGAAAACAGGAAAGGGAATATAGAGTGTAAGGAGGGGTGGAACTTTTAAATAAGCCTAATGACTCAATACTGCATAATTTACACAAAAGACGTAGATACCACTTTTGCCCGCATAGTGCCAACTGAAACAAGTGCAATGAAACATAACACCTGCTGGTAAGTTTTCTAAATCACCATTTGTGAAGATAAATGGTGTTAATGTAGGTAAAATAACTGGTATGTGTCTTTCCTCAGAGAGAAAAGACATATTTTTTTAAATGGTAATAGACTTACTACATGTACATGAAATATTGTCAAAAGGTTTGCAATAAACAAACATACAATGGAATAGTCCATTCACTTACTAAAAGGGTAAGGGCTTATCTGGGTATGGGGGGAAAAAATCAACCCATTTTTTTAATTGAATAAATATTATAATCTGAAAGTAGTTAAGGATATCGATGACAATACAGATGGATGATACATGGTGCTAGGAGGCTCTATGTAATTTTTTGTTTTATCGTCACTTTTACATTTATAGGAAAGCCCTGAGTTTTGGGATTAAACCCAGAAAGAAACTATTTAAATACCACCTCATTCACATAGTACACTGATTTTTGAGAGGACATATGTCTTCCTTTGTACATTTGATTTATTAGAAGATATATGGAGATTTGGAAATTAAATTGATCTATTTGTGATCATCAGGCTTCTTTCATGGTCGTCTGCTTGGAATTTGGATATGAAACCTCAGGTGCTAAGAACTTGACTGTGTCTATAGCCCAGATAACCCTGCCCATTTTTTGCAACGCATCTAAAATACGATGAACCCATTACAAAGGTTGGCATTATCTTAAAAGTTACTCAGACTTACATTACTGGATAGAATCGAAGGGTTTAGCCAACCTGGTATTCAGAAAAAGGAGTTCAATCCTTTTTCTTTCACTGTTACTAAGTCAGTATGAAAGGACTCTCTAGCCATCCAAATAAACAGAAGTTGGATTAGGAGGCCTCAAAACCTATTAAATATTGTAATTCCACCAATCTCCCAAAAGGAAGGTATCAAAAACAGTATATCATCTGATGGAAATAAATTTAATAAATGTAATAAATACCCCTGTATTGGAGCATTAAAAGAAGGACAAAGTAAAGGTCAAACTGCTTAGAGGGTCTCTCTTAATCAGACCAAAGCATTTATACATCTCATGTTGCGGAAGCAGGAATGGCCACCACTGTGAGGTTCACCAGAAAGAGGCAACCGGTGCTGGTCTGTTTTGGGCCAAGCAAAAGGATGGAAGAGAGGCAGAGGGCTCCTGGCAGGCCCTGGGGAGAGCAAAGACTTCTCAAGGAATGTCCCGTGTGCCAGAGCTGGATTCCTTCTACACCAGGATTAACCTTTGTTACTCATCTGGAAACTTCAAAAGAAAGAATTAGAAATTCTCAGTTGAGGGTAACTGAATTGTGACTTTTCCAAAGCAAGTAGAAAATAGCATATGTTTTCCCTTAAATTCTCTTGATGTCATCCTCCCTACATTTGCTTAACAAAAGCTAAACCCAGGAGTCATTCGCGAATTTGTACTACAGATCTGGTTCCCCATAACTCTCCCAAGTATTGACTCTCCCACCCTCTCACAAACCACCATGCACCAGTGCACACCTCTGATCCTGCACCACCTGGCACGCCTGTGTTCTGGGGGGTGCCTCCGTCCCCACTTTTCTTCAATGGTTCTCCAGATGATTTCCTGCCATTCTCATTCTTTCATCATTCTTATAAATAATATATTTAATCCAGGCTTCTCAACCTCAGCACTACTGCTGTTTGGATCAGATAATTCTCTGTTGTGGGGCTACCTGTGCGTGATGGGATGGTCAGCAGCTTGCCTGCTACCTGGAGCCAGTAGCACCCCACCCCTCCAGTTGTGAAAACCGAAAATGTCCCCTTGGGACAAAGGAACCCCCGAATGAGAACCACTGATCAAAATCCGACCTCTGCAATCACAATAAACATCTACTCCATATCAACCACAAAGCCTCCTAACGACCTACAGCTTCTTGTTCTCAATTAAAACTTAACTGAGACACTAAATTCCAGTCCCTCTTGTTAAAGTGAAACTTACCTGTTTGACCATTTCTGGGTTTAGTTCCTTTTAATTGCTTCTACTTGGCCTTGTACCTAAAATGCACTGTATGAAAAAGTAAGAGTGAATATAAAATAAGTGAGAAAATTGAGGAAAAGGAAAAATATGTTAAAAACATAAGATTAAGTTAAAAGTGATATTAGGTTACAAATGAAATAAACCCTTTTCCTCTCACTTCTTTTTCTTCAAATTCAGTGAGACTTGGATGTCTGCATGTTCACCCAAGTTTTGCTTGGACTTTAGCTTGATGCCAGCAGCTTCCTCTCTACATTTTTACAGTCTGTCCTTTCTTATATCCTACATGCAACCTGGGATCTGAATTACAGTGAATCTACTCTTTTCTGACACCATTCCTCCTTCTGCACATGAGGGCTACAGGAGCAAATGATCCACTCTGCAGATTTATAGTTTTCTCATCTGAGGTAGCCCCTCAATAGCATTCGCTAATCCTTTGAGTCTGACTGGTAAGCCACTATTTCAAAAGTTGATTACTCCACTCAAGCTGTACAATCCACCCCCTTCACCCTCAGTGCAGCTGCTATTTTAACAAGAAAATTGAGGTCATTGCGTGGGAACCACTTGTGTATCCTTGCAGTTCCCGTCAGCATCGAACAGCTACATCTGTCTTTCTCTCCTCCAGTCTCAAAGGATCAGGGGTCTGTCCCACTATTCAAGGCAAAGCACACGTTCGATTTTATTCCCTATCGCTGATGCCGAGGCTTTTGCCATGAGTTATTTCCTTTTTGTCCTTTATCTTCAACATTTTCTCCTTTGCTGGCTGTTTTCCTTCATCCTCTACACCTACTTCCAACTTCTATCCAGAAGAGGAAATCAACAAACAAAAACGAAGTGACCTCTCTCTTCACTAGATTTCACTGCCACTACCATCCAATTTCTTTCCTCCCGGACTCATTCAAACTCTCAATAGCAGCAGTCTACATTCATTATCTTCGCTTTCTAAGACTCAGCCGTTCCTCGGCACAATGGGATCTGATTTCTAACCCCATTTAACAGAGCATGCTCTCTCTAAAGGCCTGAAGCCCTTATCTTGACGAGCGCTCTCACAGGTATTTGACACCGTTACCTTCATTTTTCTTCTTTCACTCCCTGGGCTGTTTCTGCACCCTCCCTTCTGGCTGGCCTCACGCCCAGCAGACCCTCTTGGAAAGGCCCCTTTGGCAGGCTCTTCTTTCTCATAAGTGAGTGAAGTCAGCTAACTGAAAACAGTTGACACTATAGAGGCTAAGCAATATGCCCACCAAGGTTGTTGATGTGACTCCTGCTTAGATGGCAGGGCTCCCTAGAGATCCACCCTTGGTTTATTTCTCATCTATCTTCCCTGCTCTCCCCAATCAAGCAAACCACTCTTAAGACTTTATTAATGACATAGATGGCAAAGACACCAATCCTCTTCTCTGATGAAACTGCAGAATTACATATTACTCATATTGGTCTATGGTATATCAATGCCTAACAAGGACACATACAAAAAACAATAACCAGAGCAATGGAATGGAACCAGAAGTCCAAAAACAGATACTGTAAACATGCAATCATAAAGTGCAGCAAAGAAGTAATTATAAATCAATGGTGAGGCCCTCCAATGAAAGACTATTAGCAATCCCAAACACACCAAATTAATTAGTGTCTGAACTTTATAGTCATCCCTTGCTTTCACAAGAGGAAAAAAGGAAAGAAATCAATGCTAAAGTAACTTTCATGATTGCAAATGTTTTTATATCATGAGAAATAGTGTTTTAACAGATAAAGTTTAAACTCTGTTTGTGCTTGTAGTTTCCCAAAGGTAGCTAAAATGAAATGTTGTCATAGACTAGAAGATCTAGGAGGACTTATAAAAAGGAGTATACATTTCCAAAGCAAATGAGATTTTCAGGGTAGAGTATGTTCTCGACCTCAATTCTACAAGCTCAGAACTTGAAAGTCTTTTAAAAATTCCTTTTACAAGGAACTGGCCAATTTATATAGTATTTATAGGCACACTGGAATAGCTGCCAATACTAACCTGATAGAAGGACCAAAATTCTCAGAAATCTAAACCAGAGAGAATTCCATTCAAATGAGTTTGATTATCATATAAGGAATGATTCTCCTAATTTTAATCAAATTGTAGTTTCAGTTATGTATAATTCTAGACAAAGACTGTAAGAAAATGTAAAGAAAGGTCATCTTTATGATTTGTATAAAAACAAATGGCTATAGAATGAATAAAATGTTTACAAGCTGTGTTTGGGTGGTGTAAACAACGTTTCAGGGTAAAGTTGAAAGTATACATCTAAATATAACATCAGATGGTGGAAAGGAATTTTTCTCTTCTAATTAGTTTAAAAACATTTTTTATGAACATGAGGAATTAGGCTCTCTTGGATTTTTTTTCTTATAAAATATTATAGCTGTTTTCCTGCCCCCTCCTTTATTTTTAGCAGAGCTGTTTCTGATTTAGTTTTTTTTAGGTTTTTAACATCAAACTAAAAATAATAACCTGAAAATTTGAATTACTCTTGGACAATTCTTTCCTCTAAGGCATAGATTTCTTGAAACAATGTTATTTTCACCTCACTCCTGATTACCTTTAAAAATCAAAAAGAAATGAATATATGGTATGAGATACTGCTCATATGGCCTCATTTATTAAGAAAAAATAGAACTAACAGATGAAACCTGTTTCAGAACACCTAAAAAAAATCCCTTGATATTGAAGTTCTTTTATTCTCCAAAATGATTTTTCAAAACAGGATAAAATATTTTGAACACAAATATTTAAGGAATTGGCTTCAACACAGGTTGAATTTCCAGTTGTCAATATCATGCAACTAGTTCTCTTACATCCACCAGAGGTGGTGGCTTCATCTTTTTGTTAAATATAGATTGGAAGTATTGAAAAAATGGCTGTAATTTTATGCTTTGTTTTATCTTTAGGTATTTTCATTTGTTTAGGTCTCTAAAGAAAGAAAGATGGCATGAATAACAGTCAAAACCACAAAAGTACAATGAGAATGGCATGACTGACTCATTTTCAAACTGTCCTTAATCATCACCCTGATCTCAGACTGATTGAGCAGCTTTTCTGCTTTGAAATCCCTTTTGCGATGCATCTTGCAGCAATGGGAATTCCTTACTTAGCCATCTCTCTCTGACAGTCTCCTAGGGTTAAAGGGCATAACAAAGTGCTAAAAGAGGCCAAGCTGCCTCATGCTTACATCGTGTATTTGATGTTGAAACTTCCAGAGGTTTATTGATGCAGTGGGACTAGAAAAATGAGAACAGAACCGATTTTCTCTGTGGCCTTCACCCTTTCTCACAGACCACGAGATAACCACTGTTATCAAAAGGAAACTAGAATTCTCCCCTTCTGTTTTTTATGTCAAGCTAAAATAATGGCATTTCTTTTTTCTTCTCAAGGAGGTTTTACCAGGTTAAATATAAATCTTAACAGAGTATTGCTTATATTCAGAATAAGTAGTGCATTTCCGTTTCTTTTCCTTTTTTATCGGTATGTGAATAATAAAGATATTAAATTAATCTTATTTTTTTTAATTTGAAAAGTTAGAAGTTGTTTTATGAATGGGAAAAATATAAGACAATATTTTTTATTGTCTTCAACGTATCTATTATGGAAGATTTATGTTGAGAAGAGCAATGCAACATGCAATGAATCCTAAATCTAGGAGAAAACAAATTCTCTCATAACTGTAAAATTTGAACAAAAAAAATGTAAAGAAAGAAAATAAGGTAAAAGTAAGGCATATGTAGTGAAATTAATCTCATTGGTTGTACTGCTTCCACTAGTAAAGGAGAAATTGTACTTTAAAGCATCAAAACTATGTGTATTCCATTAAAACAGGGACTGAAAACTGGCAGCCTGAGAACTGGGGTGCGTTTTGCTTAGTCATCACAGTTGAGTTTTTTTAATTACATTTCCTGAATTTCCACTACTTCCCATTTTCTTACTCTGTGCTATTTCACGTTTTGTTATTGGTCTGGCCTGAAGTCTTAGGAGTTTGCAACCCGAGCTTTACAAAGTTGCTATTGCATGATTTTAAAAACATTGACAGGTGTGTAGAGCAGATTCTCTTATATACTGCTGGTAGACATGTAAATACTTTCAGTGCTTTTGAGGGGTTTTGGCAATATTTACTAAAACACTAATTCCTTAGAATCTTCCATCTCTCTGAGGTTATTCTATAGAAACACTCATAAAGTGATGAGAGAGAATTAAAATTGCCTTCACTAATACATTGATAAAGGGTGGAAATCAAGCCTTCCAAATGCCTGTCAATAATTTATTAGTTTAATCATTTATGGTAAATCCATATAATGGAGTATTATATAGCTCCTTAATAAAAAAATGGGGGTAGTTTTAATATACATGGAAAGATATCACATAAATATTATTAAGTGAAAAAAAGTGGCAAAATGTTTTCAATTTTCTGTGAATAATGATCTTATATTATTAAAATAATAATTCATTATTATACTGTTAGTGTATACCAAACTGGTGATGAAAGCTATGGAGTTATGGTGGGTTTCTTGTATTTTAAGCCCATAGCCGTGTAACATTTAAATTATTAAAGCAAGCATATGTGATGCAAAATAAAAGGTAAACTGTGGAAATCCAAAACACTAAAACCTTCTATCAAAAAATTATCAGATAAGAAACGATTTTCCTATATTTATACTTGAGGCTGACTTGGCTATTTATACAGTAAGAATGATGGCATACACTATGGTTCAAATTATAAACACTCACTGGATTATGTTTACCAGCTTTTTCTTACTTAATATTATTTAAATGAATGAAATTCTTTTCTAGAGATATAGGTAAAATTGTTAAAATCTAACTCATTCATAGGAAGAAGAAAAACAGTTAAATATTCAGGTACATGTTTGGAGCTTCATGGAAAGTTTTATGCTGTGGATCAGGTCTACTCTAAATGTTTTAGATATCTCTATTTCTGATTCACATTTTAAAATTCTGTAATAATCTGTTTTGGAAGGAAAGAAAACACATATCCCTCCGACTGTTG